GTGTCCAAACCCCTTGTTTACCTCTCAGTAGGTGGAATGATATTCGGAAAAACAAGAACGAGGAGTGGTTGGAAAAATATAAAAAAGCGATAGATATGATTAGAAACAAGTGTGGGACGGGGTGGATGACCACAGTTCACTAGTGTATACTGAAAAATTAAATATCATAGCAGTCACTGGTTGAATACCAGCTCACACAGTATAAATTCTTCGCTTTTGATGAAACAGACCAAAAAAAGGAAGAGGCTTTTCAACCTACGTGAAAGAGAATTTGAGAAGCAGCGTTAAAAAAGTGGTTGAAATCAGACTCACTCAGAAAACGTATGAGCAGGAATGGATGAAAAAACAAATCGGGCAGTAAAAAGCTATATGTGGAACAGATTAGAAATGCATAAAAATATGTAATTCGAAGAAAAAATAAATCCTGGACGTGATTACAGACATGTTCATTACCCAGCTTGTTTCTGACGCCGCCAGACATAATAATAATGGGTGTTTCTGACGCCGCCAGACATAATAATAATGGGTGTTTCTGACGCCGCCAGACATAATAATAATGGGTGTTTCTGACGCCGCCAGACATAATAATAATGGGTGTTTCTGACGCCGCCAGACATAATAATAATAGGTGTTTCTGACGCCGCCAGAGACAAGATATTATGCACTTGGTCCTGGTAAACAGAGACAGTGTTTAACAGGTTGGAAATAGATAGCAAAACTGGATAACAGTGATTATAGTGAAATTAGAATAGGTATCATCACAGCACCGCCAATACGGTGTTACCTGGTAGAGCACCGCCAACATAGTGTCACCTGGTAGAGCAGCGCCAACATACTGTCACCTGGTAGAGCAGCGCCAACATAGTGTCACCTGGTAGAGCAGCGCCAACATAGTGTCACCTGGTAGAGCAGCGCCAACATAGTGTCACCTGGTAGAGCACCGCCAACATAGTGTCACCTGGTAGAGCACCGTCAACATAGTGTCACCTGTTAGAGCACCGCCAACATAGTGTCACCTGGTAGAGCAGCGCCAACATAGTGTCACCTGGTAGAGCAGCGCCAACATAGTGTCACCTGGTAGAGCACCGCCAACATAGTGTCACCTGGTAGAGCACCGCCAACATAGTGTCACCTGGTAGAGCACCACCAACATAGTGTCACCTGGTAGAGCACCGTCAACATAGTGTCACCTGGTAGAGCACCGCCAACATAGTGTCACCTGGTAGAGCACCGTCAACATAGTGTCACCTGTTAGAGCACCGCCAACATAGTGTCACATGGTAGAGCACCGCCAACATAGTGTCACCTGGTAGAGCACCGTCAACATAGTGTCACCTGGTAGAGCACCGCCAACATAGTGTCACCTGATAGAGCACCGCCAACATAGTGTCACCTGATAGAGCACCGCCAACATAGTGTCACCTGATAGAGCACCACCAACATAGTGTCACCTGGTAGAGCACCGCCAACATATTGTCACCTGATAGAGCAGTGCCACAGTGTTTCAATATTTGTCTTTCCATTGGAGACTTTCGGCGCCGTGGAGAGGGGGGACCTGCTGCTTGGGTAGCAGCTTCTCCCCCGTATCAACCTACCTTGGCTTTGCGCCCTGGAGAGGCCACTCCAGACCGACAACCAGAGCGCAACTCCATAGTCTCCTATGACTGATGGATGCCTACTACTCAGATCGTTCTGAAGACTGATTGATCAAGATGAAGATGGGAAAAGGCCATTTACGATGCTTCTCATATTTCAAGGTTGTCCCTTGAAGCACAGCTAGTTTTCTGAGAGTCATTATAGATTTATTAGTAGCATAGTTAATGTAGAATATTTATTACCTACGGTAAATACAGAGACTGAAAACAAACATAAAATCAATGGAAATAAATGCCAATTTTTTTTTATTTGTGGTCGTTGGTCGGGCTTAAGTTTATTCGTAAATAAAGTAGATATATTTCATCTAACAATTACAACCAGGACCACTAAATACAACCTGAAGCATGGAACGAAACATAGTTCAAATAACCTAACTCGCCGCTAAAATATACACAACACAGTGTAAATTTAACATTAACATTAAATTCAATGCTAACATTTTAAAAGCATAAACTTGAATTCATTATATTGCTGAATATATTTTTAGAGTATTCTTCTAGCGCTTCTGTATCGTTAACGTAATCCATAGGTCACCCACTCACAAATAAATCACTAGGACTCTTCTCTAATAAATGAGTTAAAGATGCATTAGATATAGAACTACATCAACACAAGCTTAGTGAAGTGGAATGCAATATAAAGAGAGAAGCAGCCGAGACCAGCTACACCAGTCGACTGGTCCTATAAGTTTGAGACCAGCTACACCAGTCGACTGGTCCTATAAGTTTGGGACCAGCTACACCAGTCGACTGGTCCTATAAGTTTGGGACCAGCTACACCAATAGATTAAATTTTGATTTAATCTCAACCAGGCAAACTTAACTAAATATGCACAGCTTTGTAAACACACACACACACACACACACACACACACACACACACACACACACACACATAAATGAGATCCGCTGGGGACGGGAAGAGAAGCAGAAAGTTGGCATGGAAGCAGAAGTAGGCGGGCAGTACCCCGCAGGGACCCGTTATCCCAGGACCTGGTACGAGGCAGGTCAACACTCTCCTGCCTCCACCCGTCCACCCGTCCACCCGTCCACCCGTCCATCCCCTCCACCAGGACATCCCTCCCCCTCCTCTCCACCCCCCCCTTCTCTCCCTACAGCAGAACGTCCCCTGCTCCTCCTCCTGTTCCAGGAGTACTCGCCCTCCACCAGATCCCCTTTTCCAGCCTGATGGAACGTAGCCAGCTCCATCAGGCTAACATTTTCTCGGTCGGTCCCTAGAGTGCATCTGGGACCCCCTGACACCCACTCATCCCTCACTTCGGTTATATATATATATATATATATATATATATATATATATATATATATATATATATATATATATATATATATATATATATATATATATATTATTAAATATGACCGAAAAAGTAAGATTAATAATTCTAACACGAATTTTCTCAATCTTTCGTACATTACGCTTCACTGTTGGAGGTAAATCAAAAATCACTTCTCCAAAATTCATTTTTATTTCTAGTCTGACGCGACACGGGCGCGTTTCGTAAAACTTATTACATTTTCAAAGACTTCACAAATACACAACTGATTAGAACTTACGTATCTCTGATTTTATATCTACATTTGAGTGAGGTGGGAGGGGTGATGTGGCATTAACACAAGACAGAACAAGAGGGGATATTAATAGGGTATTAAAAGTATCAACACAAGACAGAACAGAAACAATGGGTATTGAATAGAAGTGTTTGTAGAAAGCCTATTGGTCCATATTTCTTGATGCTTCTATATTGGAGCGGAGTCTTGAGGTGGGTAGAATATAGTTGTGCAATAATTGGCTGTTGATTGCTGGTGTTGACTTCTTGATGTGTAGTGCCTCGCAAACGTCAAGCCGCCTGCTATCGCTGTATCTATCGATGATTTCTGTGTTGTTTACTAGGATTTCTCTGGCGATGGTTTGGTTATGGAAAGAGATTATATGTTCCTTAATGGAGCCCTGTTGCTTATGCATCGTTAAACGCCTAGAAAGAGATGTTGTTGTCTTGCCTATATACTGGTTTTTTTGGAGCTTACAGTCCCCAAGTGGGCATTTGAAGGCATAGACGACGTTAGTCTCTTTTAAAGCGTTCTGTTTTGTGTCTGGAGAGTTTCTCATGAGTAGGCTGGCCGTTTTTTTACTCATGAGAAACTCTCCAGACACAAAACAGAACGCTTTAAAAGAGACTAACGTCGTCTATGCCTTCAAATGCCCACTTGGGGACTGTAAGCTCCAAAAAACCCAGTATATAGGCAAGACAACAACATCTCTTTCTAGGCGTTTAACGATGCATAAGCAACAGGGCTCCATTAAGGAACATATAATCTCTTTCCATAACCAAACCATCGCCAGAGAAATCCTAGTAAACAACACAGAAATCATCGATAGATACAGCGATAGCAGGCGGCTTGACGTTTGCGAGGCACTACACATCAAGAAGTCAACACCAGCAATCAACAGCCAATTATTGCACAACTATATTCTACCCACCTCAAGACTCCGCTCCAATATAGAAGCATCAAGAAATATGGACCAATAGGCTTTCTACAAACACTTCTATTCAATACCCATTGTTTCTGTTCTGTCTTGTGTTGATACTTTTAATACCCTATTAATATCCCCTCTTGTTCTGTCTTGTGTTAATGCCACATCACCCCTCCCACCTCACTCAAATGTAGATATAAAATCAGAGATACGTAAGTTCTAATCAGTTGTGTATTTGTGAAGTCTTTGAAAATGTAATAAGTTTTACGAAACGCGCCCGTGTCGCGTCAGACTAGAAATAAAATGAATTTTGGAGAAGTGATTTTTGATTTACCTCCAACAGTGAAGCGTAATGTACGAAAGATTGAGAAAATTCGTGTTAGAATTATTAATCTTACTTTTTCGGTCATATTTAATAATATATGTCTACAGGAAAGACTGCTACCAAAATATACTAATATATATATATATATATATATATATATATATATATATATATATGCTTCAGGACAATATTATTTATCTATATATTAGTATAAATTATGTTTTAATTAATGTTTTAAATAAGTAGTGTTTAATCAGGAATAAAATATTCCAATGGGGCAAAATTGTGTGTGGAAACTTCACAGTTTAATTGTGATGGCATTTAGTGAGGTGATTAAGTCATTATTACAATTGTATTTCTCACTGCATTCTGTTTGACTGGATAACTTGATTTATTTTTTGTTTCGTTTATTTTTTTTTTTGGTCAGCAAATATAAATAATGTTTGTTTCATGAAATATTATTTTTCCTTGACACCAGAGGTTAGGCATGTTTTATGTGTTAGCTTTTCCAGTCCTTGACACTATGGTAGAGATGTCATACCCCGGCACCAAGGCAAGGATGTCAGGTTCCAACACCATGACAGGGACGTCAGGTCCCAACGACATGACAGGAACGTCAGGTCCCAACGACATGACAGGAACGTCAGGTCCCAACACCATGACAGGGACGTCAAGTCCCAACACCATGACAGGGACGTCAAGTCCCAACACCATGACAGGGACGTCAGGTCCCAACATCATGACAGGGATGTCAGATCCCAACGACATGACAGGAACGTCAGGTCCCAGCACAATGACAGGGACGTCAAGTCCCAACACCATGACAGGGACGTCAGAGCGGTATAATACAAACTTAAGCATACAATTCGACTCAGAAACTCACACAGAGCAAGAATGGAAACTCGAGCTGTAGTCACGCTCACAGAAAGTGAACTGTCTGAAGTTATAACGAGCGAAGTCTAGCAAATTTCAATAAAAAGAACACAGGGAGAGGAGGGAGAGGAGGGAGAGGAGAGGAGGGAGAGGAGAAGAGGGAGAAGAGAAGAGGGAGAGAAGAAGAAGAGAGAGAAGAGGGGAGGCAGAAGAGGAGGAGGTGTACTATTTTGTTTATTATTATTTTCTACCGCAGACGTGGCCACACATTTACAATGCTAACCAACATATATATACATTTTCTTCTGGACTTAGTTAGAGATCTGTTAAACATACAATTCAGTGATTTATTGAACAATCAACTACAGAAGGTGATTGTAGTACTTTTAAAGTGTTAATGTAACCTACAACCATAAATGAAGAGCTGTTGGCAGCATACTCATCGAGAAGGTAATCGGAGATAGAAGATGATGATGGAAATTGAAAGCTGTGATGGGTTGGGTGATTATATATCTCACTCTGAAATAATGGAAGGGAATGCAATATTGAGAATGCAAATTACGAAGAAGAGAGCCCTAAGCCAGTACGACTATATAGCACTTGGAAGGGATATGAAGACTAGGAGCTGGGATTGGAAGGAGGTAGCGGCATGGTGCCCCAACCCCTTGCACCATCGAGGATCGAACACCGACCTGCAAGAAGCGAGGCCGTCACTGGCCCGACCAGTATTAATCAACTATTTACAGAACAATATAAAGCTTCACATTATAGCATGACAGGTATAATGATGTTGCTGGATGCAGTAACATCATTGTTTTGTTTTGTTTAATCAATATATCATCCGGACCATCAAATTAGGGGATAATGATGACCTATTCATTGTAGACCTGACTTTCAAGCTGATTCAGAAATGAGGAAGGACAGCATTAAACTGACGGGGCCACAGACGGTAGCACACGACAGGAGTGCAATGAGACAGAGGCTAGATGCGACCAGAAAGTAATCCCCACTCTAGGAACAGACAGTGAAGATGACACAGACTGACACGGCCTCTAACAATGGAAGGCAGCGAAGCGCATATACATAAGGGATATACATAATATACAGTATGTTGACCAGACCACACACTAGAAGTTGAAGGGACGACGACGTTTCGGTCCGTCCTGGACCATTCTCAAGTCGATTGAGAATACTTCAGCCACGTTATTGTGACTCATCGTCTGCTAATGTACAGCATGTTTAAATAGTATACAGGATGCGTAAAAAAATACAGAGCAGAGGTTTTCAAACAACGGAAAATTCTTCCCTGGGAGTTTTCACTGTGGACGAAGGGGGATTTTGACCGCAGAGTTCAACCGTTGCAATATTGATCTTCCTACACACGTCTGTGCTACAGACTGTTCACAATCTACAGGACATCATACTTTAGTGCATGTCACAGATCAAATTAAAAATATAGATAAATATTTCACTTTGTATCTGTGGAAATATTTCATGTTGGTTTTTATTTAGGATTGGTTTTTATTCACAGATTTTGGAGCCCATCGTGAGTGTAAAAAAACAATGTTCGACCGTCGATAGATTGAATATGGATTCACATCTATCATCATCAACTGGTGAACAATGGCTTCATACACGACCAAACGACGACTTTGTTACAACATTCGAACAAGTTTCAACACCTAACAAGTTGTAACAACCAATATATATATATATAGAGCAAGTTGTAGCAACGTCACTAATACGTCATAAAAACATTATAACAAGATGTAATAACTTTATTACAAGTTGTAACAAGTGGAAAATTGGTACAGTCACGTTTTGTGTTTGCAGGGAGGATCAATGTGTTATTTGCAGCAAAACTTTTGTCAAGTGATTTAATGAAGCCAATGATGCTGAAGCAACATTGTTCATCCTGAGCATAAGAACAACGTCGAAAGGTTTTTTGGGACTACAGGGGGGGGAGGGGGGGGCGGGGATGCTTTCTAAAAGATGAGGCAGGATTCAACATGACATTCTAAGAAATGAGTCACATGGTTATTGAAGTTTCTTGAGATACACAAGCACACACACACACACACGCACACACACACACACACACACACACACACACACACACACACACACACACACACACACACACACACACATACACACACACACACACGCACACACACACAGGGAGGGACCCTGATAGCGGAGTGGACAGCGCTCTGGACTTATAACGCTAGGGTCCGGGTTCGATGCCCGGTGATGGCAGAAACAAAATGAACAAAATTTCTTACACTCTGATGCCCCTTGTTACCTCGCAGTAAATCGGTACCTGGAAGTTAGACAGCTGTTACGGGCTGCTTCCTGGGTGTGTGTGTGTGGGGGTGGGGAGGGTGGGGGGGGGATTAGTTAGTTAGTAGTTAGCAACAGTTGACTGACAGTTAAGAGGCGGGCCGAAAGAGCAAAGCTCAACCCCCCAAGCACAACTAGGTAAATTACACATACACACACATGTGAAGCGTGGGGGGGGGGGTTAGGGGGTAGGGGGGGTAAGGGGGGGTTTGGTAGGGGGGTGGGGTGGGGGGGGGGAGACTTGAGAACCATCTGCTTCTCAAGTAAAAGAATGAGAGTCGACGGGAGACATTGTCTCTCACCCAAGTGCGTTTACTCCTTCACAATCTCCACGATGCGTGGCGGGGACGAAGGTCACTATCCCCCTCCTCCTTGTTTTGCTACCTTCAGTCGTACTAAAGTTGGACTCGCAAGACTAAACTCGCCGGAGAGCGACGACCACTGTTCAGACTTTTAGAGCGAGTGTGGTCGTTGTGCAGACAATTGCTGTTATCTAAGGACAATACAACCGCTTGGGCAGAGGAGGAAGGTGAGGCTTCTCTTCTGTTATGAAGACTAAGAAGAGCAAACGACTCTTGTCTTATGACAATGGCACTGTACAGGACCCTCCACTGTGGGGCTGTGTTGTCGTCTCCTCTTACTCTCTTGCTTGCTCTCTCTCTGATGCTCTCTCTCTCTCTCTCTCTCTCTCTCTCTCTCTCTCTCTCTCTCTCTCTCTCTCTCTGCATCTCTGCATACATGCCTGTCTGTCTGTCTCTATATCTCTGTCTGTCTGTGCCTATCACCCTCTCTCTCTCTCTCTTCCTCTCTCTCTCCCTCTTCCACTCCCTCTCCCTCTCGCGATGTTTATCTCGCTGAACCAAAGAAATTGGCCTGTGCTGGAAGATTGCCAACGGACTTGAAACAAAGTTTAGTCTAGACTATTTTTCCCTCCCCAACTGCTCAAGAAACATGAAACAAACTGCCAGAAAATATGTCCCTCATTAGAATCCCTGTTCCTTCATCAACCTTTGATTGATACGCAATCACATGCTCAAGCGAGTTTAAACGACGTCATTAAGGGAAGTATGGAAGACGAGGGAGAAATATGAAGAGACATCTTCAGTGTCTGACGGGGACGTCACTTAGGGTGGGAGTTTGTGCTGTCTGTTGAAACACATGGGTCGTACCGTCAGTCTCTGTGTCCCGTACATGGGTCGTACCGTCAGTCTCTGTGTCCCGTACATGGGTCGTACCGTCAGTCTCTGTGTCCCGTACATGGGTCGTACCGTCAGTTTAAGTGGTGTGAGTTAAGACCGAAAGGAAATGAACGTTGACCTGCATAAAGCGCGACCGTCACTCTACCATCCAGCCTTAGTGGTTGGAGAGAGTTAAGTCAGAGTGTAGAGCAGTTTAACTGGTTCGTCTCCGGCTTCGTCCTGGGACCTCTGTTATTGTTCTGTATACTGGCAAGACACAGAACTGAACAGTAACACTTGCCGACGATGCTGAAAATAAATTTAGAAGCAGACACAAATTCACAACATACACTCCAGACAGGCTTTTCAAAATGGACGAAAGAGTCTCAGAAACAGTTTAATGCTTAATGTCAAGGTTGTGAGCCGCGGTGTTGATCAAGGCGTCACAAGCGGGCCTCCGGGAAAATGGTGGAGTTGAAGAATCCGAATGCGAGAAAGTTTTATGAAATTCATGATTAATATTAATCATTAATATGGATCTTAATCCAATGTGTCAGGGTGTTATTGTCCGGAATAAGGCAAATGGGATACTGGGATTTTTTTGTTGTGAAGAGTTTGCAACAATACATCTATTGACATTCTTCAGCTTGATCTTCTCCTTATAAGACACCGTTGGATTAAAAGAGTTCAGTTCAGGTTTGCGTACTGAAAAAAGGGACATAAATTCCCTTGAACGAGTACAAAGTAGAATGACAAAGTTAATCTTAGTTTTTAGAAGCCTTATGAAAAGGTTAAAAATAAAAAATAACCCAGATAAATTAACATTCTCCACATAGACGAAGAGTTAGAGATTAATGATTAATATTATTACATGACTGAAATATTCAAATGGGAAAAATGGGTATAACAAAAGGGGGAAAATAAAATACTATATCAACTCAAAACTACAAATAATGGACATAAATGGCCAAAGTTTTTGATTGATGAAAGACCTGGGTAAATGGTAGTTTGGCAACAAGGGGTCTGGATGCCCTGGATTTATGGAACAAATTACCTGGGTCAGCAAAAAGTATTGTTGGATCACTTGACCACTTCCAGCGTAGGTTAGACGTATTTTTGAACGAGTTTAGGTGGATATAAATAGGAGCTGCCTCGTGTGGGTTAACGGGCTTAACCTGTATTCTTATATTCTCATGTAAGGTATAATTTGCCAGAAAACGTATGTCAGATATGATGTGTGTGTGAGGTTTGATGAGATAGATATGATGTTTCAGGTATAATGTGAAGGGTATAATGTGCCATGTATGATTGGTATGGAACGTATGACGTGCCAGATATATGATATACCAAGTATGACGCCTCAGGTATGATGAACCATAAGAAATGTTTAGTGCGTTCAGCTGTAATCCCTGGAAACACAAACCGAAACTGTCTCTATTTTCCGCTTGTTACAACTAGTAATAAAGTTGTTACATCTTGGCTTAACGTGTTTATGATGAATTAGAACGTTGTTACAACT